GGAGCACAGGCGTGTGTCACCACACCCGGCTCAAGTCTTCAAAATTAAGATCTTCATTCTTTTTTTTTTTTGGTACCAGGGATCGAACTCAGGTCCTTGCCCTTGTGCAGCAGGCGGCTAAGCCACTGAGCTAAATCCCCGGCCCTAATTTTGGCTCTATGCAGTGTCTTTCTATATTTCATGAACTTTTTAGTACTCTAAACATGGAAACTGAACAGTGTAACTTCCCATGTCCTCGGGCAGTGTATGAAGGTCCTGACACTATGCTATGCTCTTCTGTAAGGAGCTCTTCACTTACACAGCTGCTTAGCTTCTCCAACAGCTGGGCTGTCTGTGCTAACCCTAAATGCTCCCCCTTTTTCTTATCGCTGTCACCCACAGGGGGATCGTCAGGCCTTTTGCACATTTTCAACATCTTTATCCCACAGAGCAGGGGATAAGCTAAAAACACCCAGCCAACCAAATGACCGCACAACGAACCAAACAGACAAAAGAATGCTGTGAGCATAGCCTGGCCCACGCAGGGCAAGTACAGGACTGGCCAGTGACACCTCGGGGCTGCTCGGGATCCATTCTCTCACCATGGTGCACACACTTGCACGGATCTGAGCGTGTAAGAAAAAGATGAAGCCGAAGGGGCCTCAGAGGCCTGAATAAGCCGAGTGCCTGTGTCCTGAGTGTCCTGGCTGAGAGCTGGCATGCGAGTATGGAATTTTCTATTCATGGAGTCATGCTGGCTCTAAAGTTTCAGATTTTGGAGCTTCTAGCATCTCAGATTTCAGATGCTCAAGGTGTGTGCTAAGTATCAGAAGCACCAGAGCCAGCGCAAGGGAATGCAGAACACTAGACTACAGAATGCTGCCTAGAGAATAGAGGGTCAGGGGAAGAAAAACACTGATCCGGGAAAGATGAGGAGACAGTAGATAGGTAAAGGGGCAAAGGAGGCCCTAGGCAGTGGGGAACCCCGCATCCCCCCATTTTGAGGTGTTGAGGATCTAACCCACGCTGTGTGCACACTAGGCAAATGCTCTACAATGAGCAACATGTCCAGTCTGGGAGTAGAATATGAAATCAGCAGCATAACAGCTTAATTTAGCACTAATATAGTCAGAGATTGCTCATCTTCACATTTCCCAAGTTGGGCCATGTGTGTCATCCCGGGCATGCCATTCCAGCACTCAGGAGCCTGAGGCAGGAGGATTGCTGTGAGTTTGAGCCGAGCCTGGGTAACATAATGAGTTTGAGGCTAGCATGACCTACACAGACCCCGTGTCTCTCTCTCTCTCTCTCACACACACACACACACACACACACACACACACACCACCATGCTGGGGCTTAAAATGTAGCTCAATGTTCAAGCACAAACAAACAAACAAAACCTCCAGGCTTAATTTGGATATTGCCACCTTTCCTACACTTGGGTTGCTAAAATCCTTTTTTGTCCCCAAATGATAGTGACAGCAGATTTTCTGAAATTTTCTTTTTTTGGCAAAATAAAAGGTTTCCAACTCTGCTGATTCCTAAACCGAATTAGTTTATGAATACAGAAGTTCATTCCCCAACCCTACCTAAGTACTTTTCTTTTTCTTTTTTTGATAAAAAGCACAATACTGAAAAAGTCTACGAGAAGCTCCACCTTGTTAGTTCTGAGTCAACTGTTTAGTGACATTTAAACTGGAACCTCCCTTTGAAATTCTAGCAAATTAGAATTAGTCCATCGGATACTTCTGCAGAACATTCTGAGTGGTTAAGCACCATTTTCAAGTACCTGATATCTGTGCTTCTATTTGTCAATTTATTCTGAAACTCAGGTTCTTTTTTTCCTTTTTGATAGTCCTGGGGATTGAGCCCAGGCCCTTCCAACTGAGCTACATCCCAGCCCTTTGTATTCTATTTTAAAACAGGGTCTTGCTAACTAGTCTAGGTCAGAGCTCAAACCTGTTATCTTCCTGCTTCAGCCTTTCAGAGTGCTAGAATTACAAGCATGAGTCACCACACCCAGTCCAGGTCCATTTACTAAATTAGTTTTGACAGAATTCTTAAGATTGTAATGCTTTGCCAGGAGTGGTGGTGCACTGGAAGATTACAAGTCTGAGGCCAGTCTGGGCTACACAGTGAGTTTAAGGCCAGTGTTAACTACATAGTGAGACCCCGTCTCAAAAAAAAAAATTTTTTTTGTACTCTTTTTTTTTTTTTTTTGGTACCAGGGATTGAACTCGGGACCTTGCACTTTCGAGGCAGGCACCGGAACCACTGAGCTAAATCCCCAGCCCCCCCCCCAATTTTTTTTTGACTAGAAATTTTTTAAGTTTTAGAAATGAATTTGGTAACAATCAAATTGCCTGATAATAAAAAGAGCGAATGCATCCCAGCGCTTCCTTTGTCCTGGGCACAGGGCTAAATAGTCTCTGGAAGATACCAGGGTCTGTTGTTTAGTAGACTACCGTGTGAGAGGTTCAGTGACTTGGCTAAGGACGCAGAGCCAAGAGCTAGGCTTATAAATAGCTGGAACAGCCCTGCATTCAGCATAACAACAATACAAGAAAGTGTCGGATTCAAAATAACTCAAAAGCTGTCAGAAAATACCTGCTTATTTCCTAGATGGGAAGGGCCAGAATAAATTTCTGTTATTAAATATATCTATGTCTACAACTGAAAACTACCTATTAGCAGTTAACATTGTTTATCTATGGCTTTCATTTAGGACCAATATTTACTTCCTTTTTTTTTTTTTCTAAGTACCTCTTAGGCATCCCCAGTAAACTGAGTGGGGTGGTACAAGCTTGTAATCCCAGCTACATGAGAGGCTGAAGCAGGAGGATCTGGAGTCGGAAGCCAGCCTAAGCAACCCAGTAAGATTCTGGTCTCAACAACAACAACAACAACAGCAGCATACTTTAGATCTCTCAGGTAATTTCCTAAACCACATATCTCTTGAAAGGATGATTTAAAGTGGAAAACACAAATACACAATTAGAAAAGTCCACTGGTGAGAAAATCCTCCAGGAGTACATGAGTTAAACTCCAGCCAATTTTGTAAAGCTTTCAGGAAGGATTCCAGGAGCAGGGTGTGGTGGTACCTGCCTGTAATCCTATCACTGGGGAAGCTGAAGCAGGAGGGTCTTGAGTTCCAGGCCAAGCAAGGCTCTAAATAGCATTGAAGGCCAGCATGAACTACACAGTGAGATGCTATCTCAAAAAAAAGGGGCCAGGAGGAATCCTGTGACTTTTTGCTTTGCGCAGTTCTGGGGGTTTAAATCCGGTTTTCCTATATCCTAAGCTAGTTCCTTACCCTTTAATTAAATGCCCGGCAAACCCCCAATGGGGCTGTTTGTAGAGAACATGGGCTTGGGAGAAGTCTGTTCAAATCCTAAAAGTTTTGTGAATTTCATTATTATTGTTTGGTCAATGTATCCATTGGCGATCAGGCTTGAAGAGATAAACCCTCCCTTGATTTCTAATCTAGACTCAGGTAACTGATAATGTGCTGGAAAGGACCTAACAGATAATGGGTGGGTGGGGAGGAGTAGGGGTTCGAGATTTTATTCTGGCGAATTTTGAGTAGTAAAAGGTTTCATGCCCAGTGAGACAATTATCATGACACTGATTTTTCAGCACAGTTCTATCTGAAAATTTCCAGAAGAAAAAACAAACACCTTATTTATCATTTTTTGATAACTCTATTCAAAGAAAACTAATGCTTTCAAAAATCCATGCTTTTAAACAATCTTTAAAACATTTATTTTATATGCAACTACCTAATTGTGTATTAATGAGAAAATAATCTGGAAGTTACTCCTTCAAATCTAGTTTTATGTTATTTCATTTAAACAGAAAAAAATAACTCCTTTTCTTCTGCTTTTATAAGAAGTCATACTTTTCTTTTCCATATCCTTTGGCTCAGTACTTTTTTTTTTTTAAAGTGGTATGTTTTGCAATATTGATGACCAGCTAAGCTCAGGATATTTATTTCCATCTGGTAGAGTTCAACTCTCGCCTCTTGTTTGCTCTCCCCATCTGCCTGCCTCGCCTTCATCATTTTCTCCTCCTCCTTAATGGAGTCCTGTTAACCCTGTTTTAGGCTAATCGTTTTAGCAGGCTCATGCTTTCTTACCACAAGCCTGTTTCCAAAAGTAGGCTTCCAAGTAAACTCCCATATCTACACTTAATACTGTCAACAAGCTTCCAATTTTATCTTTTTTTTCCCCCTTCCATTTTTATACGCAGCAGTTTAAATCTCGGTGTTTGGATTAGGAGACAAACCACTTTGGTTCTGAGCACGCACATTTTAAAATGCATGTGCAGATTTCTTTTCTTTTCAAAGCTTATTTCAAGATCTACGTCGTATTTATCCTCTGCGTGCAGGGAGGTTCAGTAGTGGACTCCCCTTCTTTGACTCCTGGAGTCAGCAGCCGCAAGTGGCCTTGCTAACCTACTTATTTTGCAATTAAAACTTTTCTCGAAGACATCTCCAGCTCTGGTCCCGGGAGGCGCACTGGCTCTGCCAGGGGCCAGGGCTCCCGAGGCTGCAGCAGGGTCTCCCCGCTTCCGCTGCAGCGAGCCCGCCGCGCAGACCCCGGCGGGGCTGGGGCTGGGGTGTAAACATGGAGCACGCGTGGACAACCCTGGCCCCCAGTGCATACCCTCCCGGGCACAGCTCCTTTGCAGGAGGATGCGCCGGCCCAGGGCCTCGACTTGACAAAGCGGGAGGGCGGAGCTACATTAGGGGGCGGAGCTTTCACACGGCACCCTCGGTTTCCTTCTTCTGGGGGCCCAGGCGACTGGGCTCTGGCCGCTACTCTGGGTTTATTTGTTTACAAGCGGATTACGTCAGCTCCTCCCTCTCTTCCCGGTCTCTGGATCCGCCCCCTGGGTTCATTTTCCCGCCCCCTCCGGCACCGAATCTGTTTGCCTCAGAATGGTACGATCTTCCGATTAGCTAGAGTTGGCCGTCACGCTTCTATGTCACTTCCTTTCCACAGTGCTATAAAATCTGCTGCACGGCGGCGGCACCTCTGCACCCCCCGGAGCTGGAAATGCAACTCTTGGGATCTTCGGAGGCTACAGAACTGGAGGCGGAGGCGGCCGGGGAGGTCCGAGCGATGTGACCAGGCCGCCATCGCTCGTCTTTTCCTCTCTCCTGCCGCCTCCTGTCTCGAAAATAACTTTTTTTTACTCTAAAAAAAAGAAAAAAAAGTAGCCGTGCGTCCCTCACCCCCACGCCTTCCTCTCAGCCGTCTGGTCTGTGAGGGAGCCCGGGGTGGCCGCTCCGTCGTCGGGGCCGAGCCCCGGCCGCCCCGGGCCGCCCCCGCCCGCCGCCCCCATGCATCCCTTCTGCACTCGGGCCGCCACCATGATAGGCGAGATCGCCGCCGCCGTGTCCTTCATCTCCAAGTTCCTCCGCACCAAGGGGCTCACGAGCGAACGGCAGCTGCAGACCTTCAGCCAGAGCCTGCAGGAGCTGCTGGCAGGTGAGCGGGCGCGGGCCGCCCCCGCCGTCGGGGCCGCGGAGCCTCGGCGGCGGCTGAGCCCCCGGCGGGTCCCGGGCGGGCGAGGGCGCGGGCGTGGGGCCGGGCCGGGCCGGGGGAGAAGGAGACCCGCACGCACCGCACAACAAAGAAACCGGGCCGGTCGAGGAGGCGGGAGCCGCGGCCCGAGGGCCGTCGGCGGGCTGGGGGGACAAAGGGGCGCGGGCCGGGGGGCGCGACGCCCCCGCCCCCCCCGCGCTCCAACCTTCGCGGGTCCGCGGCCGGGCCGGGGTGGGCAAGGTTGGAGCAGAGTCTCCGCCCGCCCGCCCCTGCCCATTTATCATCGGGTTTGATTTGTCCCCGGCACCGTCCCTCCCAGCCTGAGCGTGGTTTGGGGTTTGTTTTCTTTCCCTCGGGGGTAACCGTCCGGTGGCGCAGGTCCCCTCCAAAGCCTGAAGCTCCCATTGTGTGCGTTGGGGTGGGGTGGAGAAAGTAAATAGGTTCCCGCCGAGCCGTGGGCTCCCCCCGGCTGGCCGACGAGGCTGCGCGCCTGCTCCGCCCGGATGTGGCGGCTCAGCCCCTAGTCTTCGAGCCTGATCGTCCCGCACCGCCGAGTGCAGTTCCTAAAACCCTGCCCGCTCTTTCTCTGTTCTTGCGCACGGCGCAGCAGCGAATGCAAGCCTGGACGCTTCTAAAAGTTGGTAGTTTTCGTTTTCCCTCCTGGAAGGAGCCAGCAGGAGGAGGAAACGACGGCGGCGGAGCTAACCGTAGCGAGCTCAGCATTGTTTCTCTGTTCTTCTCTTCTGTAGAACATTATAAACATCACTGGTTTCCAGAAAAGCCGTGCAAGGGATCAGGTTACCGTTGTATTCGCATCAACCATAAAATGGATCCTCTCATTGGACAAGCAGCACAGCGGATTGGACTGAGCAGTCAGGAGCTGTTCAGGCTTCTCCCAAGTGAACTCACGCTCTGGGTGGACCCCTACGAAGTGTCCTACAGAATCGGAGAGGACGGCTCCATCTGTGTGCTGTACGAAGCCTCGCCGGCAGGAGGTGGCACTCAAAACAGCGCTAACGTCCAGATGGTGGACAGCAGGATCAGCTGTAAGGAGGAACTTCTCTTGGGCAGAACAAGCCCTTCCAAAAACTACAATATGATGACTGTATCGGGTTAGGATATAGTCTCTGGATGGATCCTCTTATAATGGATGGATAAATTTGATTTTTGCTTTGGGTGGGCTCCTCTGGGGGATGGATTATGGAATTTAAACCATTTCACAGCTGTGAAGATCTGGCACAAGATAGAGTGGTAAAAAATTTTTCTCTTAAGTGACAGTGCCATAGTTTGGACAGTACCTTTTGATGATTTAATAGCCTGTGAGTCAAAGGATATGATCTCTATTTGCTAGGGAGTGAAGTCCTAGGGTGGTTTCAGTTTCTCCCACACATCTAAATTTTTACATCAGTCCCTCTAATGAAAATACATATTTCAGAACACTTCTCTGCGGTCTTATCTTGTGGAGGGATTTGCACTATTACACTTGAAAATTGTTACCAATAACCTTTTTTGGCAGCTCAATAGGAAAGTTCGTTTTAAACATGGTAGTACTGGAAATTTACAACAAGACTTTTACCTAGCACTTAAATATGTATAAATGTACATAAAGACAAACTAGTAAGCATGACCTGGGGAAATGGTCAGACCTTGTATTGTGTTTTTGGCTTTGAAAGTAGCAAGTGACCAGAATCTGCCATGGCAACAGGCTTTAAAAGACCCCTCCGAAGACACTGTCTCAACTGTGGTGTTAGCACCAGCCAGCTCTGTACATTTGCTAGCTTGTAGTTTTTCTAAGACTGAGTAAACTTCCTATTTTTAGAAAGTGGAGGTCTGGTTTGTAACTTTCCTTGTACTTAATTGGGTAAAAGTCTTTTCCACAAACCACCATCTATTTTGTGAACTTTGTTAGTCATCTTTTATTTGGTAAATTATGAACTGGTGTAAATTTGTACAGTTCATGTATATTGATTGTGGCAAAGTTGTACAGATTTCTATATTTTGGATGAGAAATTTTTCTTCTCTCTATAATAAATTGTTTCTTATCTTGGCATTTTAATCAATCTCTTGTCATGACTATAGAGGTTCAGCTAAATATTTTTCTTAGCCTTAGATCCTATAAGCTTCGTGACTGTCACTTGCACACTGTTCATGCTGCAGAAAACATTGGATGAAGGATGAAGGTAGTGGGTAATTTGTTTTGTGTTTTAAACCTATTAAAGTAAAAACATGGACACATTCACAGGCTAAGGATCTCATGAAATGAAGAGACAAAGGTAACAGCTTCAAAAAAAAAAAGATACTTAATGGATTACACTTCATTGGTTTCCTGTTGAAGTGAAGATATAAATGTTCCATTCTGGTCCTCCTTTGAGAAACCAATTTTATCCCATGGGTTTGCCCTTGTTTAGAAAATACTGGGGCAGGTGACCTGTAGTCTTAGTCACTACAGAGATATTGGTTGCTTTTTGCATTTCATCACCTGCAAGATTTACATAAAAATCCCTTAAGCTGGAATTCAACAAAAGGTATGTTTATGAACTTTTATTCTCAAAAGTTGAAATGCTGACTTTTTCCTCTTCTCAGACTTATTTCAGATAAATCCTAAGAACCTAAGTGAATGTTGAGAATGCTTGTAATACAGATTAAGAATAACCCTACCGCATATAATAAAGACTTAGTGATTTTTTGGTTTTGCAGGATAACAAATGATACTTAAATGGAAAGTGAAGAATTTTGAGTTCTGCTGTACAGTTAAAAATTTAACCATATATAGTAGTGACGTTTTGGTATATAGTGTATGTAAACATTCATATTAGAAATACATTGCACAATTTAAATTACTAAAGTTCAACAGCTGAAATCAGTAATCCCAAAATAAATATGAATATTTTTCCTGCTGGTAGGATTACATGTTTCTAATTGTATGCACTACACTGAAGTACACCTGTGAGCATGCCAAGTATGTAGAATACACAGGTCCGTGTACACCAACAGGCCATTCTTGACAGTTTCAATTCTTACACCCACAACAACATGTGGACTGCTCTTGGTGATTGTTACGGTTTTACTTTTTTGAAAAGCCTCTCAGTTTTTTATAATAAAAACAAGTGGTTGAGTAGTTTTTAAACAGATCCCGGCCTAGTGCTGACTACTGTTTACCCGCTCCACACCCTCAGGTAGCTCCTTTGAAACTCAGTGAAGCTTTGAATACTCTGCACTGGGCCCTGCGGCAGGAGTGAGGGTAACTTGTAGACACTTGAGGAACATTTGAGTATCTAAAACTTTCTTTTTTTCATACAGCCTTTTCTCAAATAGAGAATTGTTTTTGAAGATCTTGACATCAGACTACCTTTAAAATTTGGTGAAAAGGGAACTTACTATATTTCTTTAGACTTAAGGTGATTTACTAAGTTCCTCTTTAAAAGGCTTGTGAACATTACTGAGGCCTACCATCCAGCTGTTTCCTCTGCCTTTAACTTTGTATTCCCCAGACAGTTAAGCAGCCTATGACTACAGCACAGTAGCCGTTTGATATTTCTTGCTCACTGCTCCTGGGGAATGTTCTGCCTAGTTATTTCGACAGAAATATTTGAGTGTCTGCCTCATATGCACATACAGGTGTGTGCCAGGCATTCATGTGTAGTCATTTATGCCAGTTGTGTGTTTTTAAATATGATATACTTCAAAAAGGCTTTATAGTGCCTGAGTTAAAATAGTTCATTAGAAATCCTTTCAGAAAGGACTGCTTTCAAAATGATGAGTTGTTATGGGCACCAGAAATTTAGTCATGATTGGCAAATAACTTTGAGGAGTGTTAATTTCTCAGTTTTAACAGTTTTAAAATATTATTTCCTCAGAGTGCTGCCTTCCTCTGTTGGGCTGAAGCAAGGCTTGATGTGGATTGCGTGGTAAACACGGTAGTTCACGGGCACTGTGCTGTTGCCTCTCATTTGGAATGGGAACGGTGTATCCTTTATTGGAAAGACCACCCCTTCCACAAAATGGTTTTGTTACACTTGGCACAGTAGTTTCCTTACACTGCCATAGCTCTCATATTGCCAGTGGTTGGTTTTGTTTTGTGTAGGTGTTACACATTTATGGAATTGACCTGCAAATTAAAGGGAAGAAATCAGTATTTCTGAGGCCTAGTATTTAATGACTAATAGTTTCCACATATCTTAATCTTAGGAACAAATAACTCCACTACCACTTTTTCCCTTGGTGATTTTTAATGCCTCAGAGTTGCTCTCCTCTTTACAAAATAGAATATTTTGCGTATTTATGTTTAAAGATACTTCCTCTTACCCCACTTCCCTTCTATTTCAGATGATGGGTTAAACTGATCTTAATAAGCTATATGGAGAGAATTTGTTGATAGTTTCATCTGTGCACAGGAGACTTCAAAAATATATCTCAAAAGCTCGGCATGGTGGTACATGCCTGTAATACCAACCCTTTTTTTTTTTTTTTGGTACTGGGGATCGAACTCAGGACCTTGAGTTTTCGAGGCAGGCGCCGGAACCACTGAGCTAAATCCCCAGTCCTGTAATACCAGCTCTTTGGAGGCTGAGGCAGGAGGATCACCACTTTGAGGCCACCCTTGACTACAGTGAGACCACATCTCAAAACAACAACAAAAACCCCACGAAATATACTTCAAATCAGCTAAAACTGAAGATATACAGAATCCAAATAGTTTAGACTTAGTCTTTACAGTTGAACTTTTATATGACCACAATTGAAATACAGCTGTTTTCATGTTTTCAGTATAATCTAACAGTATTACTCTTTTATAGTAAAATAGTTTATACTAGTAATTAGACTGAGCTGCATAACAGGTCTTCAATCATTTACTTTAATAAATGGGACAAAACCGGAAAAACCTGTGTACATTAAAATTCCTGGTTATATTTATAGATCTTTATATTTTCTTTGAGTAACAAGGTGAAGAACATTGTTCAGATGTTAAGTTTTGTGTCTTTAGATGCTCCTAGATGAATAAGCTCAGATGTATTAATAAGAATGGTGTCATCTCCTCAACAGACCATGTGTAGTAATAAATCAGCTTTTATTTTTGCTTTATATTTTAAGTTGATTTATCTATTTCTTTTTTGCATAGCTCAGTGTGTCAAACATAGGAATAAAGAGTGATAAGGTTTCCAATCAGAGCATTCTAAAATTTTAAAAAATACTTCCTATTATGATTGAATAACCTTAAGGATCATTGTGGAGTTCATCTTCTGACTTGCATATGCACCGTTTTGTGACATGTATCATTCTAGTATTGGAAAGGCCCTGTTCACCGGGGAACTCTGCGTGCTCATAGGGAGCACTGATGGTGAAGGCTGTACTGAGTGTGGGGTTGGACAGAAACTGAAAGGGTGGGGAGATGAAGAGGGGAAAGAACTGAGAACAAGGGTTTTGAAGGCTGGCTGGCAGTCCATCTGCTGCGATCGTAGGTGTGTACCAAGGCTGGTTCGTGCAGCACCGTGTTTTGGCAGAGTTTGGGAACGCTCTACTCAGGGTTCTGCCGTTCATCTGTCCAAGGCAGACTGCACTCTGTTTATGTAAATGTGCAGGTCAAAGTCGCAGTACAGGTTTGTGGGCTACCTGAAAACTGGCCTTGGAGGTGTGGAGGAGAAACATGAATAAAGCATATTCTTACAAGTATTTAAGAAAACCAGACAGTGCATATATTCCTTTGTCTCCCAGTATTTTTAAGCTGTCCGATATAATTCACTTGAGGAACATAAACTCATAAACTCTCACCTTGTACCCTTAAGTTGGGGAGGTGGTTTGTGACCCTATTCTTGGTGGCAGAAGGATGATTAAGGATAGACCAGACCCCTAATACCACAATGGGAACCACCAGGCAGGAGGAACTGTTGAGTTGATTGGATTCCTGTATTTGGTAAATACTACATCAGGCATTGCTTAGTTGAAATTGTGAACATTGTATAGAAGACATTTACCCATGGGTACATTTAATTTTAATGATGCTCTTGTTAGCCATCTCCAAAGTTAGGATATTCTTTTAAAATATTTTTGCATGTGTGTATGTAAAAAGCACATAGTATGCTTTCTATAAACAGGTATTCATATGTTGGCAATATGCTAAACACTTTATTGATAGGCGTTTATGATCAAAATGTTTAGAGACTATTTCTGTAGATAATCACTCAAGTAGATGATTATTTGCTCTCCTAAGAATAAGTTACAATTATGTTTTTCTTTTAAGGGATAAATTTCAAAATGAGAAGCTATATAGAAATATAAAGAGGGCTGCCTTTATATAATTTTAGCTTTTCTGCACAAGTCCTTAATCTTTTACAGTCAACAGATATCTAAAATTAAGTGTTATTACAAATTCAAAGTCTATGTTGCTATAGAATCAGCTATGTTGCTATGTTGAAATTTACCTTTTTTTAAGAAGTTACAGTATTGTAAAATGTTGAGTTTTTGTAGCATTACTGTACCCTGAGAGGACTGAATTATTAAATTGGAGATTCCTGATTATTTTTGGTAGTGACAGTGTAGCCAGAAGTCCTGTATCTTTTCCCTCTTGTTCTGAGCCATTCTTGTATTTTCAGAAGGAAAGATGATTAACAAATTGTACTTTATTTGAGGAGATTCCATAAATGGGCATAATTCTAAATTAATTAGACTTGACAGTTGTACCATAAGCAGGACTGAATGTATTTTCTAGTTTTCCTGATTTATGGCAGTTTTGTTCCCGGAAGTCAATAGACTACATGGAGTTGTATTTCCTGTAAATTATACTTGAGAGCTTTTGGTTATCAATATATATTCTAGTTTGACCTTCCAACAACCGAATGAGGTAGACAGGTCAGTGTTTTTAATCTTCATTTTTTAGACGGAAAGCTAAGCTTCATTTGCTGCAAAGGCAAACAGCTTGTAGAAAGTAGAGAGCTACGGTACAGTTTGGAGCTCAGTCCTTCCAACCCCAGAACCCAAGCTCTTTGTTTTCATGGCACTGGGGAATGAACTTAGGGCCTTTGCACTAAGCTACATCCCCGGCCCTTTTTTATTTTTTTT